GTTTTCTTGTGCCCAATAATGCATAATTTCATTTGATAAACACGTTTAGATTGAATGGTAATTTATAATCAGTCACAAGAATGTCGAATCTGAATCACTTGAAAAAAACATGGGGGTGCTTAACTTTTTTCCAGGTGTATATATAGTATGTTTTTAGGAAGATAGAAGAAAATTAACTATACACTTGTCTACAAAATAGACAAAAACAAAAAGAGTCATTATCTGCAAGGAATAGGTTGTATAGAGCACCAACAAAAAATACTTTTAGTTTTTTTTATGAACATTTTATTAAACTTTATTAGAGCAACAAAGATCACTTTAGAATAAAGGAAATCTCACCCCACTTTGCCTTACACTTCTCTTAACTTAAAACCTTAGAAATGGGAGGGGGGGGGGCTGTATTAAATATTTTCCTATTTTATAAGCCATACATAATGTCGTTAAATTTGTTATTTTCAAGGTTGTTCATCAGTGAAGAAAGAGTCTGTGAAGTACCATAAGACACCTGCATGTTGTGAGAGATCACTGGCTATCAAAAGTTCTGAGGTTAAAGCAAAAATGAAGTAACAGCTAATAAAGAAGTTTTAAAATGGATGACAAAACTTTTTTTCAAAATGCACAGATTGTTGCACACTGCTCACTATGCAGCAAAGCAAAAAAAAGCCATTTATTTACTTTGTTGTATTACTTAAGGATCTACAATGTGAATGTTCTATCCTTAGATGAAATCTACTTTAACACTAAGGTTGGCAAAGAGTTTGTAAGTCTTATATCATGTAGTTACGTTGATGATTTAAAAACACATTTACATAACTCAGTTTTTACATGTATTTATTGTGATGGATCAACTGTAAAAACTGAAAGACTATAACATTACATGCCATATTATAAGAGAAAAACTGTTAGTTTTTGGTTAGATTGGATCAGTGTGATGACAGGTGCAATCCAGGGTGTTATAAAATTGCTTACAGATAGCAGTCAGGGAGACTGAATAATGGCAGTTTGCTGCTTAACACACTAGCTAGAACTTGACATCAAACAATGTGTTAAAGCTATTTACATGGAAGCTGTCTCTGAAGTTTTGATGTTCGTCTTGCATTCTTAAAATGGTTATCAAAGAGAAACAAGGGAGTAGAAGAAGTTTCAGAAATCATGGAGGAACAATTCATCGAACCAGAAAAAGCCAATGGTACTAGGTGGGTGGATCACAAATTGAAAAACCATTTCCAAACTAATTTTAATATTACGTATAACATAATATTACATAACAAACGAATAAGTAACAAAGTCAAATTACAGTCATGTCTTGCGATGAGCACACGCTGCGATAAAGAATCAGAGAGGCACTTCATTTCTTTTCCAATTACGAACTTTATAAAGTTCCGATATATTTACATTTTTTATCACCTCTAGGACCTCCTATATGAATATCAAAAATTTTTTCATAAAAAAAAAAAATTCTAATATTTTCTCTACCCCAATACTAAATGTAACAAATCCAGCAATGTAGGATAAAATGAAAAGTTGAAAAATACAAATTTTGTCCCTCTTTTTTTTTTTTTACATCTGGCATCATTCTAGTTAATAAAGAAGACCATTATTCATTGTTGTTTTTTACTTGAAATGTACGATAAATACACAAAATTAAAAAAATTAATTATAGATTATTTTATTAGATAAAGGTCAATTTTAACATTTGGATATAAAGAAGTTCTTTTAGTCTATTTACTCAAATTTAAGAAGTAGGGATATAAGTAGGAAAAAAATTAAATTTTGCTCCTGCACAAATAATTACCAGCAAAACATTTTTCCAAACATTAACCAATTACACATCACAACTTTAAATCCCTTTATACACCTCACTGATTACAGATATACATACAATAACCAAAAATGAACTAACACCTTTAACACAATATTTGAACAATTATCAGGATCAATATACAGACATTCTTTAATCTTCTGGTTACCTGCTGGGAATCACTTGAACAAATGTAGAATGTAATCCTAAGGGGAAAAAACTATTTATTTTTTTAAAAAAGAGGAACAATGTTATTCCCTTTACAACTACAAACTTTATCAAGTTCTGATAATTCTTAGTAAAGATGCAAAAGAATTTACATAAATTAAAATGCTCATATAGTTCAGTCATGGTGAAAAAATTTTAAACACAAAATTAAAGTTGTACTTACAAGTTCTGACCGCAGGTCATCAGTTTCTTGCTTACATATGTTCATAGATTCCTCCAGTTTGTTTATTTCTTTTTTATACCTGGCTTCATTCTAGTTAAAAACAAGACCATTCACTATTGTTTTTTGCTTAGTGTGTGTGTGTGTGTGTGTGTGATAAATACATAAAACTTAAAATGTTTAATCAAAGACTATTGTATGTTGATATCACTTATTTATTAATTCCATTTTCTCTAATGTCATACACATTTTTCTTTTAGTAGTGTATATGTACTTGCTTAACTTTTTCACATTGGGTAGGTCAAAATGCATGTCACAACTTTTTACAGAGTTCAAAATTTAATTAAACTACTTTGTTATCACTGCATACAAATAAACTTGGCTTCAAAATATAGATAATATATCAAATTTTTATATAAGTTTTAAGTTCTTAATTTTATAAGTAAATATAAAACAAAATCCTCAATCTCCCCTTGTGTGAAAATTGTGAAGTTTGTTCTCTAGGTCTTCCCTCTTCTTTAATTTATTTGCCATGCCATTTTCAATGTATATTGTAACAGAATATTATACACTACTTATTCTGACATCTAAAGCTAATAAATTTTCAAATCTGGATTCATTTAGTTTTATTGCTTTACAGCTGCTTTGGATTCTCACAGAGTATTTTAAAATCAATTTATCAAAATCACACCTTATGATAAGCACATACTATGATAGAGAATCAGAAATACATTTTTATATAATTTTTCTTTCATTTGAATTTTATCCAATTTAATAATTTTCTAATTTTTACATTTTAGTTACTTTTATAAGAATAAGTAAAAAAAATACAAGGATTAGTACTTATGTCCAAGTTCAAGCCTTTTGCTGTTGGAAAATGAAACACTGTATGCCTACTCTTTTTTGTAATGATGTTGCAAAATAATTTTTTTTTTAAATTTCAAACATGCAATTTATAACAAAATATTATCAGACGCAGAAAGATAATGTCTTAAAACTACTATAATTTAACTGGCTTTCTTGCTAAGCTATAAATGGGTTAAGAAATTAAGTGGCTGAGAAGAACACTACAAAGATGCAAAAAAGAAACATGCATAGACTAGCCTTGTACAGAATTCAGAAAAAGAACCTTCTCTTTCTGTTTGTTATAAATAATCCATTAGCAAATGTCAGAAATGCATTGCCATTTTTGAAAGCCAGGATGAGAGAGGAGGGGTGTGAAATATGGGTTTCACTTTCTTGTTTACATCTCAGAAAAGCAAGAAACTTGGAGGCTGTAAGTTGACATTATGACTAAGTAATATCTAGAGTGTAAGTGTAATGTGTAGTGTAATTAGCGCTAAACTCCAAAGACCATATAGGGTTAAAATGGGTAATGCAGAGCAAAGAAGTGTCATGCAATACACAGAAGTGAAGATTGAAAATTAATTAAATATTTCTTTTTTGAAATTATGAAATTAAAACTTACATAATATTAAAAATTGAAAATTAAAAACTATGTCTTAATGCCAAGTTTAATGACATACATTTGATAATAAAGTTTAATCAAATGGAAATGTGTAAGAAAACGATTTGCTCACTCTTATCACATAGGGCAAAAAAATTATTGAAATGACTCACTAACATACCAAAATTAGCCACATTTTATACTGTATACAGTTATCAATGAAATAAAACTTGCAATGAATCACAGTATCTTCTAGGGTACTGTGTAATTTCATATCCTGTCGAAATAAAGCACGATTCATAATTGTTTTATAAACAAAACAATTTATAACCTGTTTTATTTCCTCCTTCAGAGTTTCTATCTGAGTCTGTAAGGCCATTTTTTGTTGGACCAGTAACTGTTTGGCTTCTTTCAAATCAGCAGCTTTCTAGAGAATGTAAATTACCCAGTCAAATTTCCAGAAGAATACAACATTTTGTGAGAATCAAAATTGTAGATATTTAACACTTTACTTTCAAACAACAACAGAGAACAAACAAATATACAATCAGTTTTAGCATAATTTTTAAGTGATACATTACACAGAATAACATTTTTATTTTTGAAGCTTAATACTTCAAAAGACTCTATCTTAGTTATGTTCAACGAAGTAAAAAAAGACTAAATGAAAAGATCAAAACAAAATAATATTTCATTCACAAATGTAACTAATAACACATATTACAATATTTGCACGGATGAATAGGTATATTAACCCTTTCGAAACGGGTCATAGGTGAAATGCCATGTTATCTCGTTTGTTGATTCGCATTCACAATTTTATTGAACTACTATTTCATGAATTCATAATTCAAATTTTAGAACTATACATTACTCAATTTCTTAATTTAAAAGTAAATGTTTAACAAAATAAAAAAATAGATAAACATCGATTTTTGTGTGTCATGTGGTATGTTGAATGCAGCACTGGTTCAAATTAGATGTTTATGAAGTCAAAATACTAAGTCTATAGTTTTGTATGAATCAGAAACTCAAATTACTGATATTGACAAGTTAGAATATAAAATAAGAAGGTCTTATCTTTTCTATTTGCTGATATATTGCTCATGTAATACATCAAGCACTGTGGCACCCCACCCACTTCTTTCAATTTTTGGAAACACTCCCTTATATACACTAACTTCTATATATGACATGAATAACCAATCCGAAGTTCAGAATGTCCCACTAGTGGTTTTCTCAGCCTTTCTAATGTGGCTAGTGCCATTTCTTTCTTTCTTTTGAACCAAGATTTCAATGAGGTAGGTTGTGTCTTTAGTCTGCTTAAAATTTCATATTTTTTTTAAGAGTAAAATACATCTAAGCCACTAAGCTTGATAAAGTATAGTAGAATTCTATGGTATTGATGTAGTAATTTATGATTTTTTAGTTATTCAAGTGTATATATAAAACTTAAAAAAAATATTTGCTTCATATCTTCCACATGCAAATTTTTTAAAGGCTTAGCA